GCCCCGCTCCCGCGTCCGTCCCTCCGGAGATCGCCGGCCTGGCTCTGAGGCAGGGAAGGCTCGCAAAGAGGAGGCTTCTCCCTCCCGTCCGAATCCCGGTGGCGACGGCGACAGCAGCGGCTCAGCTCCAAGCTGTTCCGTCCCCTCCCCCGATCCGATGAGTGATTGACACACCGACGCCCGCCCTCTCCCCCGCCTTGCCCGGTTCCCATTGGCGCGCGACCCAAGCGGCCCGCCTACTCGCCATCGCCATTAGCCGGTGCCTCAGAAACGCTGATGTAATTCCCACTCCAGTTCTATGGAAACAGAGACTCGGCTTCGTGGCGCCTTCTGGGTAACATGGTTTTGTCCCGCCCATTTGCCGCAGTCTATGAGGGAATTTTTCTTCGCCGCTACTACAGCTCCCGAGATGCCTCGCGAGGGCGAAGAGGAGAATGAGAAAATGGAGGGGGAGAGAGACGAAGAGGGCTTCTCGAAACGGGAGGAGGGGAGGAGCTCGCGCCTGCGCCAACAGGCCCCGGTGGCGCATTTTCCCTCCATCGGGCGGAGGAGCGGTCTAGGCGGGAGGGGTGGGGTTTGCGCTTCTCGCTACTAGAGTGAGGCGGGCCGAGGAGTGGCTGAGGCCGGTGAGGAAGCCGAGGAGGCCGCGGTAAGGTTGAAGCCGCCGCGCCACTGAATCTCCGTTCGCTTCGACAGCCTCTTCTATTCGAGTGGCGGGTCCCTTCCGTGCTTCCCCGCTCTATTTGCTATCAGGTCTCTGTCGCTCCAATAGAAAAAGGCGGCGGTCCTTTACGAGAGAGAGAGAGAAGTCACCCCTTGGTAAACAGCCGGGGAGGGTGTTGGCGCGCTTGCTTGCTTGCCTCCTCTTCCTCTTTCGGTGTTTTCGCTTGAGCTGGCAGGAAAAGTGGGCGGCTCTTATGTGCAAATATGACTGCCGGCTTCCCGGGATCGGTCGATGTTCATGAGAGGCTGTTCTCTCTTAATGCAAATTAAGAGCTTTTTTGCCTCTTCCTTTGCCAGTTTTATTGTTTAATATATGTTGGGGGAGGTGTAATCACTTTTATTGTTCAGTCTGAAGTATTGATTAGTGTAAAGAAAAAAACGAGGGTCTATTTTGTGGATTTTCTTTTTTAAGTACAAAGTCTCGTTATTTCCTACACGCAAGATCAGCTCCAGTTAAAATATTGATGTCTTTTGGTGCGTTTTCATTAAGTTTCTAAAGCGTATTTTGGGCTATAAGGATACAATGTTTTTAGTTAAGTACATTATCGAATCATTTCTTGGTGGACTTCTTCACATTTCTAAATTGTAGGATAAAGATGCCTAAGAAAACAAATTAAGACTTCATTGTGAAAGGGAAATACTGTATGTATCTTGTCCAGTTTTTTTGTTAATTTTAAAAACAAAGATAAAGTAGGATTAAGTACTTAAGGTTTAATTGGTTACTGTTCAAATTCTTAAGGAAGTTTGAAATTTTATTTTAGCAGTCAATGTCAAATTTATTTAAGATTTCAGTAGTTTAATAAACTGATATTTTTTCATTACACAAGTCAGTATGGAATTTGTGATATAATTTTTAAAAGAATATTCACAAACCACGGGAGCTCTGAAAATACAATACTGGTAGTCCTCAACACTTGCGACAATTTAGCCCAAAATTTCTGTTGCTAAGCAAAACAGTTGTTAAAGTGATTTTGCCCCATTTTCAACCTTTTTTTCCATAGTTGTTAAGTGAATCACTGCAGTTAAATTAATAGCATGGTTGTTAAGTGAATCTAGCTTCCTCGTTGACTTTGCTTGTCAGAAGGTCGCAAAAGGTGATCACATAACCTTGGGACACTGCAACCATCATAAATAAGAGGCATTTGCCAAGCAGCTGAATTTTGATGACATGACCATGGGGATGCTGCAATTGTAAGTGCGAAAAACAGTTATAAGTCACTTTTTTTCAGTGCCATTAACACTTCTAATGGTTTCTAAATGAACTGTTGTAAGTAGAGGACTACCTGTACTATAGCTTCCATTTGACTCCCAGTGACTATAGGGAACAGTGCAGTACTGTATATAAGTGTACCACTTCCTCTTTCTATTTAATAGTTTTGTTTTGATTGCTCAGTCTAGTTTACTATTCTGTGCACTAGTATTCAGCAGTATTCCATGGAGAAGTACAGTTCAAATCCTGCTGAAATTTCTCAAGTCATATCGGAAAGTATGGAAATTTAGACTGAACAAATTTGCAATTACTTTATAAAAACATCTGCCAAGTGTGTAGCCCCACCCTTGTATTGGCTTCATCGTGTGTTAATTTCTGGTTCACTTAATTTTGGCTTACAATTTTTTGGGGAATTCCGTATTCGGTACCTGCTTAATTTAGAGTGCATTGATATGAGTTGAGGCTTTATCGGTTCAGGTTTTCATTTCAATACATGGATTCTGATGCTTTGTGAATTTAGAGTAGATTGTTAATCTGGTCATTTTATTATTAAAATGCTGCAGTAGTATATATTATTCTCTATATAAAACTAAGTAAACTAAGTAAAACTTTTGGGAAATAGAAATTATATGCTAGGAAACTACTAGCTTGGTTGTGTGTGTGTGTGTGATTGGCACACACCATATTATGACTACAGGTTCTGTATTTAAATTGCCTGAGATAAATTGTTTTAGTGCACAGCAGCTGCAGTGCAGTAAGATGCCTTCAGAGAGAAGGAAAAAAGAGATAAAGCTCAAACAAGAACTCTACTAAAAAACATCTGAGAATGTTAAGTGTCCCATATGCAATATTTCAATCTGAAGGATGAGGTATTGGATTCTGAAATTATTATTAGACTTATTAGTATATAAATAGGTACATGCTCATAAAATTTTCATTGTAGTATCTTCTCAGTAATATGGTGATTGGCTGATCTTGAATAGTGTGTTTAATGGTTACTTGAAATGACATCATAAAATACTTCAAAGAAGTACCTGCCACTTCTATATTGGCACACTTTGCAACATTTTCTGTTGTTTCTCCTGCCTACATCATATGTTATTACTACAGTCATATATATTTTAAGAATCTATAACCTTTCTTTCTTTTTCTTTCCTTCTTTTTCTTTCTTCAGACTAAGGCACTGCTTTGGAAACATATTTTTAAAATGGAGGAACTAGAAGATTCATCCAAGAGAATTCTTTTAGAGCCATACAACTACCTGCTTCAGCTTCCTGGTAATATCTTATTGTTTGAATATTAGTGATGTATGAAAATATATAAATTGGGATAGCCATAGCAATCTCTTTGATTTGTGAGCTACACATTTTTCATTTATTCCCCAAATCAGCCTTCACTTTGTTCCCATTGTACCTGATCATCATGTTGTACTCTTGTTTTCAATCTACATAGCATTGTTCTGTAATGATATGCCTCTTAACATATAAACCAGGATTTATTTTAACAATGGTTTGAGCAAATCAACTTGTCTTGCAGATGAGTAAATTGATAATGGTTGAATCATTTTTTTCTGTCAAAAATAAAATTCTGGGTTTAATGATAGTAACAAACATGGGATCAGATAATGGTTTAAAAAATCCAGTTTCTTTTTGCAGATCACTTACATATGGTAAGCAAAAAATTAAACTGCTTTGTATATCGTATGAACCCAGCCTAATATGAATTGCTTTCATTTAGGATGTTGTATAGACTGACCAAGTTGCATTTTGTTAATGAACTATGGCTTAGTGGGATATATGAATGCACCCATTGTGTTTTGCATAAGGCTTGACTAAAGTCAAAATTATGGATTAAATACTAATTTCAGTTATTTAAAATATCATGGGATGTACCCTAATCTTTCATTTAAAATCAGTGACATTGCCATCAGTGACATTGCCATGCCATGTGTGTATGTGTGTGTGTGGGGGGGCGTATTTGGAGAGAGAGGTTATTCAAAAAGTGCTTTGAAGACTGGAATTTTAATTTACATTTTGTCTATTAGCAAAATAAAGAAAAAATCATGTTTGGGTTAGAGCTAATATCATATGAATATAATTTTAAGCATTAATATAGTGATTAGCTACTGTAATAGCTTGGTATACACATCACCATGCAAAGCCATAATATAGTTGCATTTATCATTAAATATAAATATAGACTTTAACTTTATTTTTTGTGATCGACCAAGCAACAGAAATGGGTGAAGGGAGTAGCCAGGGATTGAAATTGCTCTTTTAGTGCTTGCTTGTTTTTACCAGGACAAACCCCAAGGATATTAAAAAAAGAAAAACAGAGCAAATAATTTTTTTAACTCAAGTGTTAACCAGTTTGCTTTTAAGATCTTAATCTTTTTACTCAGCAACATATAAGAATATTTAATTGTTTAAATATGTCTCCTCCTTTAATTATAGCTTTACAGATTTCTATATGAAGTCAGATTTTTCTCTCCTATCTGCTTTTTGTAGCATCCTGAAAAGCTCTAGAATTCTTGAAAGCTTATTTTTTGACTTTTGAGTTTGTCCTAACAAAAATTACCCTTTATGAATGTTGAGGTTAAACCTGGTATAGGAAAAAAAATTCTCTTGTCCTTTGCTTCTGGAAAGTTCCAGATATTAAAGGTTGATATCAATGCAATCCTTGAGTCCCAGTCCTTGGAAAAAAAGACTTCACTCTGTAAGATTTTCAGGTAAGCCCAGAGATATAGGATCCAATTTCAGCTTTCTGCTAGCAGTGCTTTAGAATTAACAATAGGAAATATTGTGCAATATCATGCTGATAAAATATGCTAATTACAATTATTTGGCTAGTTTTAAGAATTGCAGCTGCCTTGTGCAAAGTTCTGCTGAGTGAACAAAGACAAGTGGTGATGATACACAATATAATAAGGTGTGGTCTGTAAATAAACTGGTAGTTCATCTACCTAAGTCTTTATTCCGAAAATGTCAAACTCATTCTGTGGGGCATTATCAGTCCTAATTGTCTAACATTATATTAAAATTAACTGACAGAATATTTACAGAAGGTGTTATACAATAGTATAAATTATAAAAATTGATGACATTGTTTGAAGTGTGAAATATTTCCAAAATATTGACGTTTTGTACTCAAGGCAGTTTGATTGAAAACTCCCTATTCATTTAATACATTTCCTAGAGCTTATTACAAATAGATTATATGGAGTGAAAATGCACTGTATTATCTATGTTCTTTTTAAAATCATAGGTAAACAGGTCAGAAGTAAACTTTCCCAAGCCTTTAATCACTGGTTGAATGTTCCAGAAGACAAACTACAGGTGAGTTATATCAGTTAAACTGATTTGACAGTTAATACAATTTTTAAAAAGGCAAAGGGAAATATAATTACTTTTTTCTTGTTCTGCTTGAATCTAAATATTTAAACTAAAGTTACTGTAGTAGTGTAATAGGTAAACCTCTGTAGTGGCCAACACCAAGATATTGAGCTCTGCAACTGCTTCAGATTGTGATATATTGAAACAGAATGTTGTTAGCAAGGAAAAGAGCAGTTTGGGCTTTCCGAACATTTTTATTTTGGGCTCTTAACGTAACACTTAAATGAGTGATGCCTACCTTGATCAATGCTCATCAGGGGCCAAATATTTATTGAAACACATCCCCTACTTTGCACTCTAATTTGTACTATGCAATGAGGAAGGCAGTTTTCCCAAACATATCCCAGCCTATTTCTACTTCAAGTCTCCTGGCATATGTGTCAGATCAAATATATTTCTGCTTCTTCTGTTAAGTAATATGATGAAAGAGAGTTGAAGAAGAACATAAATAACTTGGTTAGCATGCCAAGCCAAAGCATTCATTTCTTGATTGCTGTTTTCAAACATTTTAAATGCTTTAATCACAAGACTGAACATTACATGTGTGTTGTAATATCATAAACATTAATTCTGTAGTCAGGTGCATTACGTTAGATATCTGTATGTATATACAGTACATCATCTGTTTTCATTTATGAGTTATTGTGCATATAGGTCATCTGTTGCCAATTGTGTAAGTTCATACTAAAAAAGCCATTCTATACAAACAAAAATATAGAAATACAGACAGTAGGGTTTGTGCTTCCAATGGGAATGGCACAGTCAGTAAGATGGAATTAAAAGCCTGATTAGCAGAGAGAATTAACATATTGCAAGAAGAAATGAAAATTGAAATAATCAGGGAATCTAAATATAGACGAATAATAGCAATATAAAACTGTTTTGTCTTTTTTATTAGATTATAATCGAAGTTACAGAAATGTTGCACAATGCAAGTTTGCTTATAGATGACATAGAAGACAATTCAAAGCTACGACGTGGTTTTCCAGTGGCCCATAGCATTTATGGAATACCGTCTGTGATAAACTGTGCAAACTTTGTATATTTCCTTGGTCTACAAAAGGTTTTAACACTTGATCATCCAGATGCTGTAAAAGTATTCACCCGTCAATTACTTGAACTCCATAAGGGCCAAGGCCTGGATATTTACTGGAGAGATACATATACCTGTCCTACGGAAGAAGAATATAAAGCTATGGTTCTGCAAAAGACAGGTGGCCTTTTTGGACTAGCCGTGGGCCTTATGCAGTTATTTTCCAGTTATAAAAGTGATCTGAAACCACTCCTTAACACTCTTGGGCTCTTCTTTCAAATTAGAGATGATTATGCAAATTTACACTCCAAAGAATATAGTGAAAACAAAAGCTTTTGTGAAGACCTAACTGAAGGAAAGTTCTCATTCCCAACTATTCATGCAATATGGTCAAGGCCAGAGAGCACACAGGTTCAAAATATTCTGCGACAGAGAACTGAAAATGTGGATATTAAAAAATACTGTGTACATTACCTTGAGAATGTGGGATCCTTTGAATATACTCGGAAAACACTAGAAGAACTAGAGGCTGAAGCTTATAAACAAATTGGATTGCTTGGGGGCAACCCTGAACTTACAGCATTAATTAAACATTTAAGCAGAATGTTCAAGGACAATGAAAATTAACAAAGTTATCAATTGAATGTTTCTGAAAGGATCAAGAAATTGCTCTAATTGTTCATATGAATTATGCTGAAACAGGTCTTAAGGGGTAACTGGAGATTTGTGCATACAATATAGTACTTTGAAATTTCAATTTTCAGTTGCTTATACAAAATCGTGACAAAAGTCCATTAAAATAGCTTCAAAATCTCTCAATGATTTTGATTTGTAATCCCATTTCTCAATGATTTTGATTTGTAATTTTATTTCATTATCACTTAATTCTGATTATGTGACACATAGCAAAAACTAGTGCAGTATGATCTAATTTTTTAAAGATGAGAAAATATCAAGGGGGTAGAGGATGGTAATACCCAAAAACACAATGCTACATTGAAGGCTTTTGACAAGAGTTCCTACTGCTAAAGCAAAGTACAGGTAGTCCTCATTTACTGATCACTCATTCAAGAACCATTCAAAGTGGTGGTGATGCTGAAAAAGGTTTTACACCCTGTCCTCAAACAGTAGCTGTCACAGCATCCCCAGTCATGTGATTATGACTAGGGTGCTTGGCAATGTGCATTTATGATGTTTTAAGAATTCCTCAATCATATGATCACCATTTGTGATCTTCACAGACAGCTTCCAACAAGCAAATAAAGGAGGGGGGGAATCAGAGAGTTGCTGGTCATGGTCACTTGATATTAACTTAATGACTGTGGGTAATTCATTTAATAACTGCAGCTAGAACTGATGTCATAAGTTGGCACAATCACATGACATTTCATTTTACAACGATGTTGTTTAATGATGGAGCTGAGTCCCAATTGCAGGAGGACTACCTGTAATACCATTGGCACATTGGCACATATCTTTTAAGGTAGCTATATTCAGATTTCATATACTGTACATATTAGAAAATGTGGAAAACAAGAGCTAGTAAGGAATCAAATTAGTGCCTAACAATCAAATTATTTGCTACTGAAAAACATTTATAAATGAGGTACTGCTTTTCTTCAAGAAGTACACTCTCAAACTGCTGGAAACTAATCTTAATAATAATAATATAATAATAGTAAAGTTGGAAGGGACCTTCGAGGTCATCTAGTCCAACCCCCTGCTCAGGCAGGAAACCCTATACCATTTCGGACAAATGGCTGTCCAGTCTCTTCTTAAAAACCTCCAGTGTTGGAGCATTCACCGCTTCTGGAGGCAGGTTGTTCCACTGGTTAATTGTTCTGTCAGGAAGTTTCTCCTTAGTTCTAGGTTGCTTCTCTCCTTGCTTAATTTCCACCCGTTGCTTCTTGTCCTGCCTTCAGGCGCCTTGGAAAATAGCTTGACACCCTCTTCTTTGTGGCATCCCCTGAGATATTGGAATACTGCTATTACTCTTGAGTGAATACACCAGGGGTCTTCAAACTTGGCCCTTTTATGACTTGTGGACTTCAACTCCCAGAATTCCTCAGCCAGCTGAGGAGTTCTGGGAATTGAAATCCACAAGTCATAAAAAGGCCAAGTTTGAAGACCCCTGGAATACACAAATGCATTCTCCAAACCCCATTTCCTGCAACTACATCAATGTTGATCTAGAATCTTAATTCCAAGGCAAAAATAAGTAATTGCAAAGAAAAAAAATGGGGTAACTGTAATCAATTATCCCCCCCCAAGACAAGATAATTTCACCTGGTAAGTCTGACTTGTACAGGGGATTATGTAGGATAGCCTTATAGTATAATTAATGTAGGCAGGCAATATGCATTAAAACACATAATTCCATTAACTAAAGGATTATGCCAAATGGTATTTTACTACCATCTTTGATGTTAATTTTTTGTGGGTTTATGAATATAATGTATTACATTTATGCCACCTCTATTTGGAGTCCCATTTGCCTCACTTTTGGCTAGGCTTGGATTTTGCTCACTACAAAGTGGCTGATACTGCCACACATACAGTATGAAAATAATATATTTGATACAGATGCTTAGGTAAACTCTACATATTTAAAAAATAAGAAGCTAATATGAAACCAGCTATTTATACAAATCAACAAAAATGGTTAAATAGTATCTATTTTGCAGAATGCAACCACTTTTTATAATTAACATAGCTGGTGATATAATTACAGATTCAGTTCCAAAATTAAGAGCAGAAACATAGCATCACTCTATAATTCACTCTCCCAATATCATGCTTTAACTATATGATCCTGGGAAAAGATGCCACAGAAAGAGGTATGTTCACACCCAAAGGACCTTTTGGAAATTCAAATCAATGCAGAGCCTTCGTAATTAGCATCTATTTCAGGCTGAAAATCAAATAATTTTATATCTCGCTCTCCCCCTTCCCTCCTTAGGTAGAGTGTTGGTATGGGCAACCTAGAGCTATCCTTATCCAATAACATTGCAGAAGTGTAGCAGTTTAATAATTCAGCAAAATATTATTTACCAAAAAGCATGGAGAAAATCTCAAATGAAAACACCCAGTATCACTTTGATGATATTATAGCATCAATCTTTCTACCCAAATATTGACGAGATTTTTGGCTGGAAAAAAATGCCCATTGTTCTTACTATTCTGTCATATTCCTAAATTGATACCAAGGTCAAATAGCTGAACATCTGTTATTGTAATCCTAAAATTTAAATTGTCTCTATCCCTAAAGATAATTCCTCCAATTAATGGAGTATTGCTCCTTTTCAGCTCATCCGTTTTCATAATACAATTCCAGAAATATAGCTGGCCAATATTCCTGAGACAGACAAAGACAAGCTCAAGAGTGACTGGTTCTTGAAATTCCAGTCTAGTATACTGTGGAAAGAGGAAACCGTATTTCATGAGCTGAGAAGTAATTAACTCAAGAAGACACGTGTTATTTCCATAAATAAATGCCCTCCTTTTTCAATTAACAGAAAAAGTAAGAAACATTTCAAGTGCAAAATTAAGCCAGCTTGGATCTGCAGCATGGCAGGTGTCAAGTTTTGTTTGTCCCCTTTATTAACTGCATTGAGTTTGATGGTTTGCCAATGCCTAGCTTAAAATAATTCCTCACTGAATGCCTCCCAAATTTGCTCTGAAGGCTTGTGGTTTTATGTATCATTACCAATTCCAGGTTTTTTTAAAAAAAGAAAGATCTCTAAATATTTTATTAAGCAGTAAGTACATTAAATATAATAATCAGTGCAGCATGTTATTGGAAAGTATCCAGAGTATTTAAATGTAAGTTGTAACATTTGTTGGAAATGAGTTGGAGAAACATGATTTTACAAATTGTACATTCCCAAAGTATTTGGTGGGTGAAATAAAGCATACTGTGAAAATCATAAACTGGTAAACTATATTAACAGCTGTGTTTTAATTACCAAGATTACAGCTTTCAAGTGTTCAATATTTATTAGCCTTACAAAGTTTTTATGTTTTAGAATATCTGTCCCATAATAATAAACACTGTCCAGAAAAGCCTTGTTAATTAGCTCATACTGATTTTGTTAGCCAAAGGAACACTTTTCTGGACAGAAATGCAAAAACCTGTTTTGTGGACCAAGAATTTCCCCATATTATTTAACTCTTATTTAAAACTTCTATTAGTTGTTTTGATTCACTACATTGCATAATATTCTGGTTTTAATAATTATTTTCTCATCTTGAAATTGAAATCTTGAAATTAGATCCTAAAGTCTTAGTAAACTGCCACAGTACAGTAGTTTAGTTCTTGACTTACAACCACAATTGAGCCCAAAATTTCTGTTGCTAGGTGAAATAGTTAAGTGAGTTTTGTCCCATTTTATGACCTTTCTTGCCACAGCTGTTGAGTGAATCACTGCATTTGTTTAATTAGTAACATGGTTGTTAAGTGAATCTGGCTTCCCCATTCCCCATTGACTCTGCTTGTTGAGAAGGGTGCAAAAGGTGATTTATAGGACCCCTAGGACACTGCATAATACGAACCAGTTGCCAAAGCATCTGAATTTTGATTACATGATGCTTATACGGTCATAACTGTAAAAAACAGTCATAAGTCATGTTTTCAGTTGCAACTTCAAATGCTCAACTAAAGGAATGGTTGTAAGTCAAGGACTACCCAAAGTATGTTCCACAGGAAAAAGAGTATATAAGAAAATGATTTTGTCTCAAAACATGAATTCTTGAGCTCCCAATCGCTTGCATACTTACTATGCAACCATCCTAGTTGTCAGAAATACTGCATAAATTTCAAGTTATTCCTTTGCGTAGAGGAGAAACCTATAGTACTGTCACATCAATGAAATAAACTCCTAAAGGAATATTAGCCGTAGCACCAGAGAGGGGTTTCCCGCAAACTGCCCCTCTCGCTCTCCCCTCCCCTCCCCCCGGGGCGGACTCCGCGGTAGGAGTTTCAGCAACAGCCGCAGCTCCCTCTGCTTCAGCCGAGCTGGTCGGGAAGCCGGAGAAGAGACGCTCGGGGGCGGCGATGGCGAGCGCTTCCCTCCGAAGCCGGCCGCGGGACTGCCCGCTTTCTCCTCCCGCACTCGGAGGTCCCGGTTCCCGGGAAGCTGAAGCGACGAGTGCAGCCGCCGCCGCCGCCGCCTCAACCGAGCAGAAAAACAACAATCCCAAAAGCGCGTCGCTCCTTCTGCGCTCCCCCTGCGGAACGGCTTCGGCCTTCCCCGAGGAGCTCCGCGAAACGCCCAGGGCCGGGGCCCCGCAGCCTCTTCCCCGGGGCAACGTTACCTTTTGTTCCACGGCTGTCGCCCGCTCGCTGGTCCCCCAAACCTGCCGGGGGGGGGAGCGAGGAGGACGGAGCCTCCTCTCGACGCCGGGCCCGATCGCCCGGGCCCCGCTCCCGCGTCCGTCCCTCCGGAGATCGCCGGCCTGGCTCTGAGGCAGGGAAGGCTCGCAAAGAGGAGGCTTCTCCCTCCCGTCCGAATCCCGGTGGCGACGGCGACAGCAGCGGCTCAGCTCCAAGCTGTTCCGTCCCCTCCCCCGATCCGATGAGTGATTGACACACCGACGCCCGCCCTCTCNTGGTTTTGTCCCGCCCGTTTGCCGCAGTCTATGAGGGAATTTTTCTTCGCCGCTACTACAGCTCCCGAGATGCCTCGCGAGGGCGAAGAGGAGAATGAGAAAATGGAGGGGGAGAGAGACGAAGAGGGCTTTCTCGAAACGGGAGGAGGGGAGGAGCTCGCGCCTGCGCCAACAGGCCCCGGTGGCGCATTTTCCCTCCATCGGGCGGAAGAGCGGTCTAGGCGTAAGGAGTGGGGCTTGTCTTTCTCGCTACCAGAGTGAGGCCGGCCGAGGCCGGTGAGAAAGCCGAGGAGGACGCGGAAAGGTTGAAGCCGGCGCGTCACTGAATCTCTGTTCGCTTCGACAGCCTCTTCTATTCGAGTGGCGGGTCCCTTCCGTGCCTGCCTCCTGTCTTTGCTTTCTTCCTGTGAGTCCCGAGTCTTCTGCTCCGCTCTCTGTTGTCTTATAATCCGACGTGCCTACCGTCCCTGGGTCCCTGCTCTGGAACTGTGGCGCTGTCAGCGGTGTGCCACTGAGCTCTGTCTCCCGGCGGCTGTAAACTCGGATGGGATGCAAGATCCGATCTTTTTCAGTTACCGGGACCAGAGCTTTCCGAGTCGTGCTGGAGCCCCTCTTCAGGGAACCACCTCTCTCTAGCAGAGTATGTGCTTAAATAAAGAGGGGCTCCAACTCGGAAGACAAAACCTCTGGTCCCGGTGACCGACCTAGATCGGATCCTGCAACATTATCCTGGGACACGCATATTCGCCTTCATTCGGATGGGAGGCTTGGTTTTTCTCTTTAAAGATGCTCGGATTCCTAGAAACGGGATGTGATTTTCATTGTAACTGGCCCTCAAACAACATAGACCAGTGTTTCTCAACCTTGACAATTTTAAGGCATGTGGACTTCAACTCCCAGAATTCCACAGCCAGCACTGCTGGCTGTGGAATTCTGGGAGTTGAAGTCCACTTGCCTTAAAATTGTCAAGGTTGAGAAACACTGACATAGACTTTTAGTTCACTATGTATGAAAAAAAAATTCAGGATGTTAAAAAAATTCAGGATTCAAAATTGAAGTCGTCCGGAGGGAGGAGGGAAATGTAGGAATAAGTTCTTTGAACATTGCACACCCACAAAACCCTTCTTTTTGGCTCTTGATGTCAGAAATGCTAATACTTTATTTGACAAATTTCTTGCATTTCAAGACATTGGGGAGTAATCAGTACCTGTTATGCTGTGGTGTAATTCATAGTAAAATTGCATTTTAGCTTAATTTTAGCAAACTCACCCTCATCCTTATTACATGGGACAGTAAACTGGCTATCCTGTAAAGACCCAAATATTGATAGAGGTATTACTATACAGTTTCTTGGAATTACTGCAAGATTATTTGATAACTAGATTTTACTCATTTTGCTGTTAAGTTTTTAATAAGCTCTTTATCCATTTTCAGTTTTAATTCCTTAAGGTAGATGATGTAAAGTATATGTACTATTGTCTCAGTAGGTGGCAGTACATGGATGACCTTTCTTGGGTTTAGAAAAGAAGCAGGATCCTTTAGATGTAAAACCAAACATCCCAGAATAATGTATTGATACCCAAAAATGGCATGGCTACTGACTTTAGTCACTAGGAATCTTGCTCAGTTTGAACCTAGATATAATGTACTGTATGTGATTAATTTCATGAATGGCATAATATTTCAAAAGTACTATTAATTCTTTCCCTAGATCCATAAAGAAATATCCTGAACTCATCTGTTTTTCTTGATGAGTGATACCATTCCTTCTGATGCAGTTGGTCGAAGAATTCTCTGTAATGGAGACTATGGAACAGTACTTTATGTTGGTAAAGTTCCTCCTACAACAGGTAGAAAAAATATTTTTATATCCTATGTATTTTGTAAAATAAAAGGGTGACATTATTTACTGTTTATTTGTTTTGTAATATTTATCAGTTGCTTCAAGACTCTGAGCAATCACAAGGAGAAAATGGCACTAATAATCAAATTCCACAAGACATAATATTCACCAATTTAAAAAGTCACATTGATGTTCATTAACAATCATATTAGTAGCCAGAGGTTTGTTGAAATAATATGATTTTAGGACTCTCCCAGAATGCAGGGAGGTGTAAAGCCAGGTAAATGTGTGGCGATAGCATGTTCCATAGTGTGAGGGCTACTAATAAAATGGTTACTTTGAATTCCTTTTAGAATGTATTATTTATTAATCAAACCTATATAGTCGCCCATCTCACCAACAGCAACTTTGGGGAGCACACAACAATCAGATGAAAACAACAAATGTTAAAAACATATATAAAAATTCATATTAGTACATATCATAAAAGCTGAAGATAAAGGCGAAGGGAGGATAAAAATAGCCACTTTAACAATGGAACCATCTAAGCATGTCTTTTTGACTAGGAACTCTAGGCCTAATAACATAGGCAGGTCTTGAAGGCTCTTCAGAATATCAAAAGAGATGGAGCTAATCTAATTTGGGGGGGGGAGAATATTTGATAAGGTGGGCACCACGGGAGAGAAGATATGTCTCTTGGGACCCACCAAATATAGCTCCTCAGTCAATGAAACCCTCAACATGACTATTGTGCTATGTCTAATGGAGTGGACTTATATAAGTGGGAAGAGGTGATACCTCAGATAGTCCATCCCATGCATGAAGGGCTTTAAAGGTTAAAACCAGCATCTTGAATTGGACTCACATGCAAACTGCCAACCAGTGCAGCTCATGGAGCAGAGGTGTAGCATGCACTGTTCTAGGAACACACATAACTTCCCACACTACTGTGTTCTATACCAGCTGAAGCTTCCGGATACTCTACAAGGGCATCCTCATGTGGAGCACACTGCAATAGTCCAATTTGAAGGTGATCAGGGCATGAGTGACTGTAAGCCGGGCCTGCCCATCCAGGAACAGGTATAACTGATGCACAAGACAAAGCTGTGCAAAGATCCTCGTAGTTTCAATTGCCATCAGTTCATCAAACAGGAGTTATGAGGCTAGAAGGACTTTCAGGTTGCACACCAGATCTGCCTGGGGTAGTGTGACTCCATCCAGTACCAAAGATGGTATAGTCTTAGAATCAGTGGACCCCAAAATACAAATCTATTCATCTTTCCAGGGTTCAGCTAAAGCCCGTTGTTGCCCACCTAGACCCTCACTGCCTCCAGACGCTAGGATAACATATGCACAGCATTGCATAACTTACCAGGAATGGAAATATATAATCGGGTTATATTGGCAACAGATGAGCTCTCCCAACAGCCTCATGTAGATGTTAAGAGCAGAGAAAGCACCAAACCCTATGGCACCCAGTATAGTAGAGATAGAAGGCAGAACCTCTCCTTCCCAATCATCACTGATTACTGCTCCAGAAGGAAAGAGGCAAACCGGCACAGCACTGTGCTGCTCACTCCGAATCTTCTGAATCAGTCCAGAAGGATACCATGGTTGATGGTATCAAAAGCCACCAAAAGGTCAAGTAGGGCAAGTATTGATGCTTATAACCCCATCCTTCCCAGATCAGGCGTCATCTAAAGGCGCGACGGATACCATTTCTGTACCAAGCACAGGTCTGAATCCTGATTGAAAAGGATCCAAATAATCTGCTTCCTCCAAGGCCCTCTAAATCTATTCCATGGTCACCTTCCCTATCACCTTCACCAGGATTCTGCAATGTCTTTTGAAGGCGGGGGACAAACCACAACCTCTTTAAGAGGAAAAGGAACAAAGAAAAATTAACTACTGCCAGAACCCACTCACAATGCTCCCCAGGCCACTGTGACAAGCCAGGAGGGGCCAGGATCTAAAGAACAGGTGATTGAGTTCATAGTCCTGAGGCCTCTATCTATTTCCTTACGTCCCACAGGTTCAAACCATTCCCAAATAGCCAAGCAAAACTCCCCCCTAATAATCTCCTCTAGACCTGTGACAAGGCCAGTATTCTATTGGGTACAAATTTAAGCAACTTTATCTGACAGATGTTGTGCAGATTCCGCTGCCTGTCCCTGTAAGAGGTTCTCCAAGCCCCTTGCCTAGGAGGGCCCATCCCACTCAAAACAGAGCTGCAGGTTTGCAATCTCCAGATGCAATAAGGGCAGAGAAATACTGGTGCTTTGCCACTCTTACTACCACAAAGTGGGGTCTAACCCATGTTCAGTTGAGTTCGTCCTTTATTGAGAACCAGTAATACTCTAGTCATCTCTTCTCTCATTTCATCTTCCTCAACTCATCTGTAAACAACAGAAAGTGCTGGAATCCCCCATTGGGAAGAGATCACATAGGCATCCAGTCCAAAGCCTCAGTCGTTCCCTTTTTCTAATTGGCAGCCGAGACTTCAGATGGTCCGTGTAGCAGACCAATAGGGATAACCTCCAATTCATATTGAAACTGCTCTGGATCCATCAATCATTAGGGCTGGGTCCAACCTCTCTGTGGTACCTGATTGTGCTAGGGAATCACATAGAAATCAGGGCATGATCCAGCCATGACAAAGGAGAGACCTCCTCCAATTTCAGATCACTTTGCCACTGCTCCAACAGGAACACCAAATCCAGAGTGTGACCACTGTTTCGAGTCAGGCTCTGGAAGACCCTGGACTGGCCATCATTATCTTGGAAGTCAAAGCCACCTCACTCCATTCCTATGGAAGGAAGATTAAAGTCCCCCCAAAGCAAGACATTGGGGAATTCCATTGCCAATCCAGAAACAGAGTCAAAGAACTCAGGCAGGGAAGTTGCTATGCAGCAGGAGATTAGTACAACAGTAGCATTTCCAAATGATCCCTAAAGTCCAACTTAATGACCAGAGTTCCACAAGTGGGGACGAGTGGAACAGTTCCCCTGAAAGCTGTAAGAGATTCCCTGGTGACAATCACCCCACTCCTGCTGTAGAGTCTTGGTTGATGTCACACTCAAAACTCAAGACAAATTTCAGGAAGGGAAACTCGCTCTTCTGAACCCAGCTAGGTCTTGGTAATATATGCCTGGTCAGCCCTCTCATCCACAATCAAATCATAGACAAGTGGGGTTATTATAAACTGACACGGCATTTAGCAGTAGCAACCAGAGACCAAGGTCATTGAAAGTCCATTGAAAGGGCATTCGGGCTGAGATCAAGAAGCTGGAACTTGGAACTCCAAAACAATGGATTCCTGGTTCCGGAGAGTGGCCCCCTCAATGTCTCCCACCTTAACTCTCCATGCCCATCACCACCATAGTACTTTGGCCTGCCTCCAGACCTCAAACAGTAACTCCATCCCCTTATCCAAGCTCTTTAGATCCCAGACCCGGGGAATCGCCTACTGTCTTTGCCAAGTATCCAGGGAAAGCCAGGCACCCTGAAACATTTACAAGTGCAGAGTAGCCAGCAGTCACTTCCCCACAACCCCACAGCATACACACAAACACACTCTTAATGCAAGACCTTCCCTTGCTGCTTCCACCAATGGGCAAGGGCTCCCTCCTTCACCTTTGTCAAATCGTCCTTCAGCTCTCACCTAGAGGAAGGAATCAACGCACTCGTACCCACTAGTATCCAAGGACACTCCTCCCCTTCTGCTTCCACTAGCTGTGAGAGGCTTTCTTTCCATTCACCACCACCAAATCCACCACTGATTCTCACTCAGGGGAACGAGAGAAAAGGAGGAGTTAGTCAGACAACAGTGGGAAACCCCAAGTCCAGCTCTTAAACATTTCTTTAAACTCACCCCCAATCCTGGGCTCCCTTCAACACCACACTCCACAGAAGCAGCTAGGCAGTCCAAAAACCCACCACCAGTTGGCATGATAGACATTTTCCTCCTCTGGGAAATAGCCTGAGGGCTTCTCCAGCCCAAATAGGTCGCTGCAGTAATGGATGCCTCAGAAATAGTTAGGCCAGTCTGAGAATGTGAGAAATGCCACAGTCTAATTTTAAAAAGTCACCCAGTTCCCAAGCATGGCAAATGTGGTGGGCATAGCAGGCATGGTTAGCGGCTCAAAACAGCAAGTACTTCTGACCTCTGCCCAGTTCTCCCACTGAGAAAATCTAGATTGGGCCAGGGAGTCTAATCCAGCAGTCTAACCTCCCTTCAGGTGAGTGTCACCGGGCATGTACATAGCAAACAAAAAACAAAGCTAGCATAAAATCACAAGGACAGTCATTCTGAAGCGCCTGCTCCCTCCACCATCTTAACTAGAAGCTGTATAAACTAAATCAGTCTTCTTTTTGCCATGTTTGACTGCCAGATATTTCCTTTCCAACTTTTTTCTACTTTTGAGTTCAGATACAAATGTGTTAGTGTAAATATTTCTTTTGTTTGCTTACAAGTTGGGATATTTTGAATTAATAGCTGAAAAATATAGCCCTCAGCCTAAACTGTTCTTTTAAAATGGCTTACCCTTGTGCTCTTCAAAGTGGATGCTAGAATTATGAATTATGAATCACGCAACCTGATAACTCTTTGAAAAAGAGCTTTGAGTCTTCATACCGTGTTTTTAATGAAAAGAAGTCCTCAATGAATCTGGAAGCGTATTTCAGTTTGATAAACACTGACAGAAATGCAGTGATACCATAGCAGATACAAAGTAATCTGAAGCAAAATAAATGTTAGAGATACTTTCAGTACAGATTATTCAGAAGGAAGACTCATTAAAATTTAAAACTGTAATTTAAGTCAAGAAGTTGTCTCCTCAACTTGAAAAACAGTGCACTACATACTGAAGCTTAAGCCTTCAACCTGAGTTTATTCTAGGTGATTTAAACTTTATGTGTAGTTTTTGAAAAGCCTCTAGGAAAACGCCTTAAGTATGAAAGCCGGCTTGGTGACTTTGGGCCAGTTACTTCTCTCTCAACCCTCCTGACCACACAAGGTTGTTATGGGGAAAATAGGAAGAGAAAGGAGTATTACTTATGTTCACTGCCTTGAGTTACTTATAAAAACAATAAATGTGGCAATAAATAAACAAACAGAACGCTAAAATCACAGAGTTGAAAAGGTTCATTTTGGCAATTAGGTCCAAGTGTCAAAATAAATCGTTGTCTCTTTAAAATGAAAATGTTAATTCATCAGTCTTATTGTTGCAACCTAAACGTGCTGAAACTTTGTTACATTTTATGTATTATTAGAAAACTCAGTTCTTCTGCTAATTATGTAGTTGAATTACTAACAATTATGGAAGTCGTTGTTACAGAGCTTGAGACAAACCCTACTGCTACACAGGAAGTATCTCTGAAGCAGTTGCTCTATTAGAATATTCTTTTTCCAAATCAGACTTGTGGATGTTATGATATAAGTTTTATACATTTATGATAGTGTAGCTTTTTAAAATTTAGAAGTAGCCCTTCTGTCAATATAAAAGTAATTTCATAAGAAAGAGGCAGACTATGCAATTTTGAGCACAGAGAGAACAGATCAAATCACCTGAGTAGCTATTAAGACCTTAAATAGATTTTATTGCTGAACCATTTTGAAAGTTGCATTTATAAAGCATTTATGTTTATAATATTAGGAAATTGGCTTGGAGTTGAATGGGACAACCATGAAAGAGGAAAACATAATGGTAGCCACGAAGGAATACAGTATTTCAAATGCAGGTTAGTTAATCCTGAAATGCAGTTTTCCCTTTTCAACAAATAAATAGCATATGCAAATTACAAATGAATCAGGCAATAAGATTAATATTTTCCTTTGACTCTTAATAATATTACCTGGCATGCAGTAACTTGAATGCATTGTATTTTTGCACCAGTTAACCTTAGCAATGTAGAATGATGTTTATTGCCTTTACTGAATCTTTTTGAAATTTTCAGCCAACTGCCTAATTTATTTGAATTACTGGGGATCAAACAACTTATTTAAGTAGTTTGTTTTTTCCCATGCCAGATATTTAAGTTTAATTTTGCCCTTTTTTCTTTTGATTATGGGACTTTCAGAGCTTTGAAGATTATTTTGTAAAATAATGCTGAATATCACCCAAGCACATGCACAGAATACACAAACACATACTTCAAAGCAGTAGATTAATTATACAAATAAGTACATATTTATGAATTCTCCTATTCATAAAAACGTATTTGTAACCTCAAAACAATATTCATGATGTGTTCATGTGCAGAACAACAAAAATTTTGAGTTGCCATTCTGTGCATGACTTCTTTTATACTGGTGATCTTAGTGGTTAAAATGGCTCCCTGAGCCTAATGTTCTGAAATGCAAAGAGACTCTGGTGAGCCTTAAGAGAAAATATGCATGCTAGATAGGCATTCTTCAAGTATGACTTACATTGCTGTTGGCTGTGAGTTCAGTGTTAATGATTTAGCAATACAGTACATCCAGAAAAAGGAGGAGCAAATTTGCCAATCTGTATATGAAACCACAACAGAAACTGCCAAATCAACGTCTGTAGAGTGAGGAAATGATGAAAAAAATTGGAAAGGTAGCTAAATTTGTAGATTCATGAGATGATGATCAATTTAAAAAAAGCAGAATAGACCACAAAGTTGTGAGGCACTTCAAGGGCAATGTTCTACCCTTCTTGGCTAGTGCTGATTGGTTTGCACATTTCGAAAAGTGAAACAAGTAGTCTTCAACTTACACCCACAACTGAGTCTGAAATGTTGGTCATAAGTCGTTGAAGACATTAAGAGGGTAACCATATGAGGACTCAGTTTTACAACTGCATCATGGCTTTCCAAGGCATGGTTGTTAAGTAGCCATGTGGGTCATTAAGCAGAGAGTGGAGCACCTCAGAGGTGGGGGAGTCTCTGGGAGTCCCAGTGCAGGTCAAGTGCAAGTTACGGAAAAGGAAAAGAAGCTGTAGTTGCCCCAGCCTGATCCAGCAGTGCAGCGAAAAGGTGTCACACCCAGGAAGCACAAAACCCTTGGGAAGCTTCCACAGTGGGACAAGAAATCAGCCACCCCCTACTAAGGGCTGAAAACCAAGAAGTCTCCACACAGAACACAAAGCAGCTTCCCTGCTGGAAGCTCCAAATGCCTGGGAGGTCCAAAGGGTGTGAAGCAGCCACACACCCCCATGCCAGCTGACCTTCACCATTTTTAAGCTGCCTTTACTATGAAGACGCGCTAGTACGCGCTAACTCAGAATTCAAGATTTCACAGAACATTATTACTTTATATAATATGAATTTATTGTACTAGTGCAGAGGTCCCCAACCTTTTGGGCACCAGGGACCAGTGCCGTGGAGAAAGGTTTTTCCATTGACCAGAGGGGACGTGGTTTTACGTACTGCATGCATCCTGTGGATGGGGCTTTATTTGTGCGGACTGGTGCCAGTCCACGGACCGGGGGTTGGGGACCCCTGTACTAGTGTTTTTCTGTTTAACCACTCTGGACCAAATTGGAGAATGCAAATATGGCAGCTAAAACAGAACTTGAAAAATATTTGTAATTCCTCCCAACTGTTTCAAGACCGTATCGGAAACAAATCAGCCCTGATTTGATCTATACCCGGAACATCAGCTAAAACACATGCATTTTTTATTCTGGAACAGATCATCTGGAATCATCTGTTTCTTGAATAAGATGTTTTATAAACGCTTTTTAAAAAACTGTTGTCACTTTCCTTCCAGGCATCCTACAGGTGGATCCTTCATTCGCCCAAACAAGGCAAATTTTGGAGTAGATTTCCTTTCCGCCGTTAAAAAGAAGTATGGATTGAATGAAAATGAGCATGATCCAGAGAGTGAAACAGCACTGTCATTAGTAATTGGAAGGAAAACTGTAGAAACAGTTGGATTTGATTCCATTAAAGAAAAACTAAAGCAAGTACAGTTCCCCTGAAAATGAGCAGCACCAGAATGTTTGAATATATTCCCATACTATTAGAATGTTCTGTTGCCCAGTTATTGATGCTACTAATGTATTCATATGTTTATATCACACTCTATTACAATTCTTGTCCTTGTGCAACTTTTCTACAATTTTACTGTCTTATTTTTTAGATTTATCCTGTAGCTGTTTATTTGTTGTATGCATTGATTATAGCATCTTCTCTCTCAGAAATATACTTTGTTATAGTGGCGCTGTGTCTTTGGTGCTACAGAACAGTAGCATAAAAGACTCATCTCAGAAGGGCTTCTGTTGCTCCTGCTGATTTGGCAGTATGCAGGATTTCAGCAGGCCTTTGATTAGAAAAACTCAGTAATTGATCTTGAAATATTAATATCTTTATCTTAAGTAAAGTAAGGCAATGAAGCTTGGAGGGAAAGCATATAACCCTTTTTCCTTGGGTTTCATTTTCTTTTTGCTTGAATATTTTCTACTTCAACAGCATTTTGCCATCTTTGCATCACCTTGCCTAGCTCTCTTTTCTGTCTGTCAAAAAAATACCTTGATACTTCACTCTTGATAAAGACAAAAAAAGGACAATGCTTTTCCAATGAGACACTTTTTTTTGTAGGCAATTGAATACCTTAAGTGACATTTCAGTGGATGCATGTGCCGTGAGTCTTGCAGGTCAAGAAGAAGAAATCAGAAAATCATGCCCTAGTATCCTTTTTCTTATTGTCAAACTGCTTATACAGTATGTGGTCTGAAACATAGTATTGATTTCAAGAATTAGATGAGGTTATAAGTACAGGAAACTTCCTTAGACAACATTATTAGTACTCTAAAATTAAAGACTTTTGAAAAACAGTGTGAAATATAGTAGCATTTTCCATGACCACAGTCCACTGTGCCCTTTAAAAGTGCTGAAAAGCATTGAGGCAAATTTTGAAGATAATACAGAGAAAAAGTACATTCTAGTGGCGGTAACCTAAACAGCATATGGAAGTAATATGTTCCATTACTGAGAAAATAGATGAGGATGTCTTTGAAAAATACACCTCAAATAAATTATAAAAGTAATGTATTTTAAAACAGCTGATTTTAAATAAAATATATTTCTGGGAATGCGGGATAAAATTAAACCATTCGATGTATCAAGAAAATAAAATGGAAAATGTTTAATATAAAAAGATTATACAAAATGAACCCTATATAAAAATGAGTAGAAAGTAATCTTGTTTTCAATTGGCATAAACATATTAAAAATAATGCTGATTTTCATGGCTAAAATTACAAAAATGACAATACCCATACTATCAAAAAATACAAGTTCTCTGTGGGAATGTTAAAATTAATGTCTGATCTAAATTCTCTTGAGTTTATGGATATATCCTGGAGTCCTTTATACAATTCCTCTGACCAAAAATGGATAGTGCAGTTTCCTTGCCATTTTATATATAAGCTGTGCAATAGGGTTAAGACTGTCCCCCCCCCATTTTTTAAATCTATCTCTTCTCAGAAAAAAATGGGAAGAATATTAGGTGTGGCTGGTGCTGCCATGTGCACAAAGTGGGCCAATCTGTAGCTCTGCTTGCTATGACTAACCTGTCCCCACATGGTCCCTTATTATCTTCTCCCTATTTGAACTTTGGTATTTCTTGAGTCATGGAATCCTTAACCTAGCATAATGCAAGATCGTATTTATTTATCGTATTTATTGCAATATTTTTCTTAAATATATTTGCTCAGATATTCGGCAGATAAATTTATCAAAAAATCTTTTGTCATCTTGGAAAGAAGTGTTAGCTATTGCCTGCCAAATTGAAAATTTAGAAACACTTAATCTCAGGTATTCACAAATAATTTCATAATGTGTAGATGTGCTTAGATTTCTGTTTGGGGGTATTTTTTTCTTGGATCAAATGAGTAAGACAATTTTTTCTGATTCCTCTTTTTTCAGTGTGCCCAAAGAAAAACTGCTCCAGCTTTTCCCTTGATTAGAGTTTCCTTGAACAATACAAGGTTCCACAAGGAAATCATAGAAAAATCACATTTTCCTCTTCCATTCTTCCAGTGATAGTCTCTACTGGATTTCTGCCCTTCTGGAAAATGAAAGAGCCTTTCCGTTTGTGAAAGAGAACTTTAAAGCCAATCCTTTGTCTGTATCAAATAGTGTAAAATCATTTTAAATATATATGTTAATGGTACCAATACTCACTTTACATTGTGGTCCCTGCTAGTTTTTAGCATCCTCCTCAAATTATTATTTTTTTCTTTAATTCCCTTGGGTGCCATCCTTACATAGCAAAGGATGAATTCCTTTTCAGAATATATGTGCACCACCAATATGGGGCTTTTTCTTTATTTTAGAAACAAAACTTCTGTCTATAATTTGATTCTGGAGTTAGGATCTTACGCCTTAAACTAATGCCATAGATTTAATATGACTTGAAAGTTATGTTACATCTCTGAAATTTCAGTGTCTAACTCTGCATTTGTTTCTGACATTGGGAGACCAATGTAATCAAAAATGATAACTCAAGAGAAATGTAAAAGAAGATCTAATATAACTTTGTCTTAAATTATAATAGAAAGATTGATGTACTATATTTGTTCCATTTTCTAATGTGGTATTTTTTCCTCAATTTTGGAATAGTGAAAACAAAATGAAATTTCCATCTGTTCTACCACCTGCTTCACAAACATTTTGCAAACTCAGAGTTTTGGCACTTAATCAGACTGGAGTGACATGGACTGAGGTAATACAGTTTTGGTGTTTGAAAGCTTATGGTTATTTCTTAATCATATCATTTGTAATTCTTATAAAACACTAAAAGATATATAAGCCAACATTCTTATAAAATATGCAATCTTTGCAAAAGTTTATACATGAATTTTTTTCTTAGCCAGATTCCTTACCTGTTCTTTAACTATTATCATAATTTATTCTTCCTCTAGTTCCTGTAGGATATTACTTATGAAAACTGAGGGGAAAATGTATCCACATTTTGCCTCATCAATTGTGTCAATTGTATTGACACTACGTAAACTTTGCCTAAATTGCATCCTGGAAAAATAAAAAGAACAATAGATTTTCCAATAAAATGATGTAATTCTACTAGCTTTGCATGTCATGATAGCAGATATTCCTCTTCCCATTATGCAGATATGCACTTTTTTTTTTCAACTGCTGAAATGTTTTCCAGCCTTTCTGAGTTAGATGTAGAGCTTTTTAAAAGTTAATTATTTATTTAATATCTCTAGGTGCCCATCTCAAGCCAATGCCTCTGATCAGTGAATAACTGGTTTCAAAGATTTCCCATCTTACTCATGAAGTGCTCAGTAGAGTTTCCTATTTAATTTCCCTCCTTTCTATCTCTAGAAGCTACCATTTCAAAGTATGGGGAGTACCATGAAATGTGGTTCCCCAGGTCTTCACTGTTCTCTCATTTTTTCTGTTATGACATGAATGTGTTTGATGCCAAGTTCTCTGCATTTATCTCTAGTAAGATGTTGAACTCAACATCCCTTCCAAGGAAGAAACTGATTTTTTTTTATTATTGAAAATAGGTCCCCTGACCATGAAATACATTTCAAGATAGCTCTGAATATTATTGAAATAAGTTTATAAAGTTGGTATAATTTGATTTTAATGTGTCCTATGCCTACGAAGGCAAGTGAAATTTGCTGTTTGGACTAAATGGTGTTTTCCCATTAGGTTCTTTTATGTGCTACAGGGTGGCCAGCTCTTGAAGAACTGTACCTTGCTTCCAATAGCATTTCACTTTTAAAAAGGTATGAGAGTAATTATTCATACAGCCACTGTTTTGCAAATATGATTCAGGTAGACCCCACTTACCAACAAAATTGGGACTGCCAACTCCATTGTTAAATGATGCAGTGCTAAAGTGAAACATCACATGAATGGGCCAACTTACAACATCAGTTTGTCAGTTCCAGCTGCAGTCATTAAATGAATCACAGTCATCAAGGGGGACGTCACATGTGTGCGACTTACAATTTCCTGCCAGCTTCCCTATTGGCGTTGCTTGTCAGAGGCTGGCTGTGATGGTCACAAATGGCAACCATTTGACTGTAGCACACTGCAACTCATTAATGTCTTTTGATTGGCAAGTGCCCAAATTGCAATCATGTGACCACAGGAACACTACGATGCTCATAACTTCAAGAACCAGTCACGAATCTCCTTTTTCATTGTCATAATTTCAAAGTATTGCCAAACAAGTAGTAAGCAAGGACTCTATATTGCATATTTTCAGCATGGCCTGAAATATTTAATTATGAACCATACTGATTGGTGTGACTGTAAGCATTGGACTTCGTTTATGTGTATAGATATAATCCTAGGCATATATACCTTATTTTTATATATAAAAACATCTTCGAGTAAAAGAACATTTGCTCTGTTTAAAATATTATTACAAACATGTTGACTATCCATTAATTAATATGTAAATTAAGGGTGGTTTGCTGACGTTCAGTGTTCAATATCATTTCATTATGATATCCCCACCTTCTATCCTGATTTGAGAAAAGCCATAAATCAAGATCAGAAGCAGGAAATTGCCTTTGAGTAGACTAGGGGAAGTAAATGGTGATAAAAGATATGTGTAGTTCAGAGTAGGTCCACTGTTTTATCTGTCCACCTTGCTATTAAACTGTGGGTTGTGTGATAATAGCCCTTCCAGGTATAGTACAGTCTGTAAAAACTATTGTATATAGAACCAAGTACCTCTAATCTTTAAGATCTTGAATTATCTTCAACTGCATCAGTGGAGTTTTATTAGTAGAAACAGTAAAAAATGTGTAATACTTTTGGTTTTGTTTTCCTTTAAGGTTTAGTATTTTTCACTTGTAATGACTATTTGGTTTTATATTGATGTTTTCCTGATGCTCTGTTTATATTAGTAAAGAAGAAAAGGATTGTTAAGATAACTGAAATTTATGGATAAAAAAGCACTTATTTAAATGAAAATTATATTCCACTTCTTTAGAATGTATACATTTAGAGTAGTGAACCACAATGCATTTTCAAAATTGCATGAAACAATTACAGGGAAGGGATAAATTAAACAAGCAAACAAGCACACTATCTAAACCAGAATTTCAGATTAAATTTACAATTCCTGAGATACTGCACCCAGAAGGCCTTATTTTTCTCTCTCCATCAACTAAACTTCCACTATGGTATACAAACAAGGTCATCTCATCAGATGTTAGGCTGAAACAAGGCTGGCATGGCAATTAAAAAGTCTTTCAATAAAAGCTATGTAGGTTATTTGATCAGGCACTATATATATTTTGGTGTGGAACTTTTGTGATTTAGAAGAGTTAATAGTTCAGAAAGAATCTGGTGTCAAGTCTGTATATGCTGGTAGAAATACCTTGAATTATAATACTGTCAGAATAGAAAGCACTGAATTAGAACAAATTATTTTTGTGACGGTGTTTGTATACTTTACTAGTATTTTAGGATCAAATATATATGGTTTAATAGAGATAAACTTGGATGTATTATGATCTGTGATCATTATACTCCAGTGTAAAATAACAAGAAAACAGTACAAAGTATGAACGATAGTATGATAAATCTCAATCACTCTGGACAGCTCTCAACAATCAGACAAGGAAATTACAGTAAAATTAATAAAAGATAAAGCTAAAAGATGGCAAGAGGTCTCAATCTCCCTCAGCAAAGCCACATCTTCCCAGCTCTTCTAAACTATTAAAATTAAAAAGTAGTCAAAGCAGAAAATGATTTCTATATGATATAGGGCAGTGGTGGCGAACCTATGGCACGGGTGCCAGAGGCATCACTCAGAACTCTCTTTGTGGGCACGCACACTGTCGCCCCAGTCCTAGGCCTTCAGCTGGGTTTTATAAAACCTTTTCGCTTTAGGCCTCCGCCGCCGTGTGCAAAAAAAAAAGGTTCAATCAGTCAATTTCAACTTCTCACAGGAAAAAAAAAGATTTTGCAAAGTTGGAATTGATTGATTGAACTTTTTAGTCCCACCCAATCTGCCATTACCACCACAGCCACGCCCATCCAATGGGCCTCACCCAGCCAATGGGCCACACCCACCTGGCACTCGACGATGCATAAGTGGGTTTTGGGTTGCAGTTTGGACACTCGGTCTCTAAAAAGTTCGCCATCACTGATATAGGGTAGCAAACAGATAAAATAAGAATGGAACTGTATTTTCTATTTTTTAATTGTAAAGTTATAATATTATAAAGTTTTAAATAAGGAGTTTTCCTTGCAGTCCTATTGATGTCCTCCAGAATCTGAAATGGCTAGACCTTTCTAATAACCAGTTAACTGATGAAAATCAACTTCATCTAATTGCGGATCTTCCCAGGTAACTGTTGTACAGCACTACTGTTAATCTCAGTGTCAGTGTAACTTTGTTGGTGTATATCCAGCAAAATACATTTTTCTTCAGAGTGGACTATGATCCTACTATTTTCTTAATCTCTTAGTCATGGTACATTACACACTCTACCTCTGTATTGAACCAAACCTGTATAGTGATGAAACTGATGTTTTAGTTTTCTGCCAAACTATTTTCATCAGAGCTCCAAAAATTGTTACATGACTGTATTTATTTAGGAATCCTCAAATACAGGGCCTGCAGACTATGATAACATAATAGTTTCTGCTTTTATTTTTTCAAAAAAATATTTCAATTTTTGTTTTTATTCTATTTTATTTGACTTATTTTTCATTTCATTATACCCTTACAATAAAGGATCTTAATTACAACCTGTATCTTGCATTCTGATTTGACTTAATACAACAAAATGCTAATTTCAGATTTACAGCAATTTATTAGATATGAAATCCAAATTATTGGCTTGTATTTTAATGGTTTGTCTTCTACATTTCAGGTTAGAAAGATTAATACTTTCAAACAATGAAATTTATTCTATGTACTTTCCTGATGCAACTTTTGGTATGTAAATTAAATGCTCTTATATATGCTTGTAATTTAATTTTTCACTATTGTTTCACCAATTTATTCTTCTCTTTTACAGGTTACAAGACTAGAATGTTTCCTTCATTAACTCATCTTATATTAAAAGACAATAGAATAGCAAAAGTAAGTTGCCTATGTCGTGAATTGGGTTCTGAATTCAATTCTCTTCACTTAACTACAGTTTTTAACTTTTTAAATGTCAATCATTTATAAAAATGCACAGTAAGGTAGCATAATTTCTTGCCAGACTATTTGGGTTTTATATTTGTCTGGCAATTAGTATACAAAGTATAACCATTACTATATCCACCATGTGACCTGCTATTATTCCCTAAGTCAATGGGAATTTGCTCACCAATATAAGCATTGCCAGACTGAAATTGTAATAGATTGCAGCTTTAAATATAATCAAAATATTTAACACATTTTGTTTTCTTTGTGCCATGAAGTTAATTTTGTAATTTATAGTTTTATCATAATGCCTAAGTTTTATTTTAATAAATGGTAAGATTGGTATCTAAATCATTGCACTAAGGAAGTTTTGCATAACT